CTGGTACCTTTGGTCCAAACCAAGAGCTAAACCAGGTGGCAGGCTCTGAGCTGCTGCTTGCCTCTCTGCCTATCCTTGGAAGCTGCAGTGCTAAGGGCTTTGGGCAAAGCCATGTAGCCTCAGCTGTGCCAACCTCTTTGCTCTTTGTTATCATGCAGTCTTTAAACAAGTTATGAGATACATTAGCTGATGTCCTTACAGGGCCACTTGTACTTTGTCATTTTGCATGGCAACCTGCATGTTTGAACATAAAGTCTTAAGGAAAAAAGTGGAATTTTCTTATAAAAAAATTCAAGTAATAGGCCCCAGGCATTTGAGTACTTAAGAGGCTCTGTGCTGTATTGTGAGGACAGAAATAGCATGCAGTATTTTACGGTGCAAAGCAAAAACAAGGTCCCAGCCTTGTAGCTGGGGTTGCAACGTGTGTGTGGCCATGTAGGCTTGTGAAGAGACCTGCTGGATCTACCCTTGCTCTCAGCAGATACCTGCCTCCAGACACTGTACATCTGGGGCCCAAATATACCCAGCTCTAAGCATGGCCTCTGCCTGTCTGCCTGTCTGTGCACGCCAGAGGACATGGGGAACAAATATTGGAAGAATACAGGCTGACAGGACAGCTTGCTAAGATAGCCGCCTGCTGCTTTGTTGGTGAAGCAGGATTTAGTGTAAATGGGAGCAAACACAGTGAGATGCACCATTCCCATGCCAGATGCCATTTTCATGGGCTGCCACGAAATTTGGGATCAGTCTGGAGCCCACAGATCCGAGTTTAGGCCCACTTCATCTGCCTGCAGCCAAATTGCAGCGACAGCAGATGTGTTTCTCATAGCAGGACAACATTTGGTTCCACGTGCCTGCCTGAAGAAAAAGACTGAGAGGAATACCAAGCTGATGTTGACATAAATGAAGCTGAACCCACAAGCTATGTTGACTGAAGTCCTGGAACTGATAGAGCAGGAATCGTCTGATGGGAGTGGGAAGACCAGCAATGCAAAGAATAAACAGTCCTGATCACAGAGAGCCTTGGGCCTGCAAGCGTTACAGCAAACCACACCCATGTGCCACAGCAGTGTTAGCACTGCATCACAGAAAAGGGTAATTTGCCTCTGTGTTTTCTGAACTTGAACCCCACTGGGGCTGGTCAGCAGAGTCCTGAGGCCTCCAGCATGGGCTGGAGAGGCTGGTGCCTGCACAAGGCAGGGCCGCCTGCTGCAGGGCCTTGCACATCTTAGAAGTCCACTTAATCTCTCTGAGGGCATCTTGAAAAGAAATCCAGCAGGGGGGTTTAATGCCGTCATCCAGACGGCAAGCTGTTTAGTTTTCAGAAATGATTGCCATGAGGAAGGGGGAGATTAGGTCCTGGCAGCCAGCCCTCTGGTTGCTCTGACACAAAAATGTTGTTATCAGTGCTTTTAAGCAGGCTAATTGATCACTTGTTAACAGTGGCCCTGACCATCAAGGTCTGGGAGGGGCAAACTTGTAAAATGATGGCTGCTGTTTGATTTTTTTTTTTTTTTTTTTTTTTTTAATTTTGGATAGATAAAGCCAATTTGCCTGTGACACAGGGTTTAACTTTGCATTGTTTTGAGAAGCACTGTGGGATTATTGGTGACCTCCAGGGGTCAGAGCCAGTGGTTTTTCCACGTCATCTGACAGGGAGAGACCTCATTAACACGGAGTCCAGGCTATGGGATGTTAAATTAATGATGGTACAGAGGCAAGAGGGCTATCTGCAAAATGCATGCTGTCATTTCCTCTGGTCTGTAGCGTTTCCTTTGCCATCTCCTTCGCAATGTTCTTTGGCTTGCAGCAGAAGTGTCCTAGCGTGGGCTGTGTCCTGTATGCATAGAAAACAGGTAACGGGAACTGCAGAGGATTTTTTTTAAGGTTGGGTGTGGACCCTTGTGCTGAGTCTCTTCATGAAATTTAAGGAAGATTGACAGCTGACGAATTGTGATAGGCGGTTGTATTGTCTTTTGCTTCTCTCCCCTCGCCACTTCTAATTATCTGAATTGTCAAGTCTGTGATCCTTCAGTCTGACAGAAGTGATGCTGGGAGGGGAGAGGCTGAACAACTTGCTTACATGCAGCTCTCCAGGTATAATCAGAGATTGGTTTAGCTGTATCTTTTACATCTGATTGTTTTACCCAAAACAGTGGCCATTTAAATTGAAAGCAGTGGCTAGAAAACAAACAGAAAATAAGAGTTGTAAACTGACCTAAATTCCTCCTCTTGACTCCTGGGTCATCCCACCAGCCTCCAGGTGCCATGGGCTGTTTACATTAGGCTTACAAAAATGAAGGCAGGAGCTTGCAGGTCCCTACCTTTGCATCTCCACCAGTGTCTGGCCCTGTCTGTAAACTCTTCAGGGCATAGAAAGGAGAGTGCTTAACAACACTGGAAGCCAGCTGACATTATTGTGCATGTGTGAAAAAGCATCTGAAAAAAAAACAAACAAACAAACAAAAAACATTAAAAGCTTGACAGAATTATACTTCGCCCCTTCAATCAGAAGAGTTATCTAGTATTTTCCCTGCAGCAGCTACTGTGAGCTGCACATAGTTTGATTTTTATACTTGAAGGGGGAGGGTGAGAGTCATGGGACAGGGCTGAATATGTGAAGGTCTGCCCTGTGGTTTTGGTGGAGGGTGAGCTGTACACAATTTGGGGTCAGTGGTGCTTCTCAGCTGCTGCTCGCTATTGACGTGTGATAGAGCAGAAATGTCTCCCCCTATCAACCTTTGCACAGTCTAAATCAAGGACAGTAACTCACACAAATAAAGGACAATGACTTCAACTGTGGGGAAGGAAGGAAAGGTAAAGGAAAATCAGTTGTGATACAGGTAAGGGGAAAGAAGGGAGAGTGTGACTGGTGTTGGGGACTGGGAGATGCACAGGGATGAGAAAGGTGGAGGTGAGATGGAGAGAGGAGCTGGAGACAGAGCCGGAGATGGAGACAGGAGGTAAGGAGCTGGAGACAGAGCCAAAGATGGAGACAGGAGGTAAGATGAAGAAGGAGCAGAATAAAGAAGAAAACAGGCTTGGGAGGACCAAAAGCAGAAAAATCAGCATTTGTGGGTCTTGTTCTGCGCCGTAAGCTTGTCCACCAGAGAAGAGCCTATGAGGCTATCTTCTGCTTGGTGGTGAAGGACACTGTAATCTGTCTGCCTACTCCCCTGTTGAAGACTCACTTAGAGGTCAAAGTGATTCCACCTCAAAGTGTAAAGGGGCTGAGAGGTTATCTGGACCATCCCTCTCTTGCCCTGGCTGGAATTCATTGGTATGGTTGCCTTTTCAGATAGCTGTTTTAAAAGCTCAGTTATACACATAGCAAAAGTACATTAGAAGAATGCCATGGTTGTAAAGCCATTCTCTCATAAATTTGGAAATACCAACACTACCCATCTGCAGCCTGAATACATATTGTGGGAGGCATTCTGATGCCAGCCTGCACCTACAAGCTGATAGATACATTGAGGATCCTTTTTGTATTGTTAAAAAAAGTCTCGATTGCAAATTCAAGGCTAGGGCCTGGGAAACAAACTGCCTCCCAAAATACGACTGCTTTAAAACTAATTCGATTTGCGTGGTGCTGGAGGGCACACAAGCAATATTAATCTGCAGAGTAAATAAATGCACTTTTATCTGCCAGGCTGATCATGTATATCATGTCTGACACTGCTGCACAAACAGTCCTGCATGGAAACACAAGCTTCCTTTCCAATAGGGGATTTCCCACCAGAGCTCTGCAAGAAGGTGTCCTACTATTGCTTTTTCTGGACAAGGACAGGCAAGAACAGTTGCTAGCAAGCTTGGACAGTTCTCTTAAGGTCAGATATTTACATGTATGACTTTCCTCTTAAAAATAAATAATTAAAAAAAAAAAGTTACAGCAATCTGTGGAAAAATCATCTGTCAAACTTGTGCACACAATATAGAGTATAACAGTGAGCTAAGAACCAGATTATATTTGTGTACTGTGTCCCAGTTTGATCTATTCTGTGTGCCTGGTCCCAATAAAAACTGTGTGCCTCTGTCAGATATAATAACAGACTCTGCTTGCCAGACTTTCGGGGTAATCATTATTGCAGCAGTGAGATTGAACCTCTTGCAAACCCACAGTAAAGCTTTGCAGTGTCCCCTTTTTCCCTCCTCTCTAAAAGGTCAACTGCAGATTGCTAAAATGTGGAGAGAGCTCAGGGGGAAGTGCTGTCACCCTTCTGAGAATGGCCTGCAATGAGCTAAAGTGCGGGTTGAGAATGCATCGCCCCAGAAGAGGTGAGCTTTAGGCAGTGCTCACCCCCTCAAACACAAAGGCAGACTTTTGAGCAAATCTGTCCCTAAGTGTTAAATATCTGGTACATGAGAAATATCAGCCGTTAAAAAAGACAACCAAACTGCGAGTGTTAAATAAGATAAACGTGCTGGGAAAGACAGGTATGGTAAAAGAGATGATGTAACTTTTTGTTGAAACCTCAGGGCGTTTCAAGCCTTAATGACTGACTGTCTCTTTGCTGCTTAAAGACTTGATGGAAATGATCTTTTTAGTTCATCATCTTAAACACTGACATTAAATGGACTGAAGACAGAGACACACAGCTAGCTGTAGTGACCAGGGGACATCATTTTCATTAATATGCCATTAAGAAATGCATATGTTAACTACAGTACTTGTTTTGGTGAATTAAGTGATTTCTGTGTCTGGCTGGGCTTCATGAAAAGTGCAGCTATTTGAACTCCTTTTGAGAAGCTCTTAATAACTAAGTGCTGTATCGTACTTGCCTTGATTCAAGTCTTAATGCGCTCCCTACAGGCCTGTCCTCATGCTTTCAGACAGGTTCTCCCTTCCAAAGTCATGTACTTAACCTTTTGTTTAGCATGTCCAAACACTTCAGCCTCATGGCACTTAAACGTTTTGGGAAGGGTTATTTATAGCTCACCAAACAGGACAAATCCCTCTGTCTGAAAGCTAATATTTGTGTTCATTTATTTTCTTTAAGGAAACATGCTCCCAATCAGCAGAATGATGAACGAACAGCAAAGCACCTTTTCTTCATCACATATAGAGGTTAACTGTCTGCTTCATCCTCATGGGAGATTCAGGTAAATCTTTCATGAGTGAAAGGTCTGATTTTGACCCATTTTCTGATGTTTCTTCTTCCTTCCTTATAGCAAGGAAAGTGAGCCTTGCAATTGGCATGGTGAGCACTTCCAACACCCTTTCATATGGGGCCTCAGTCTCAGTTACTGCAACTCTGCTGGCTGGGGGCGGCTCCCGGGGTAGGCGAGGTGCAGAAGTGGCCCACAGAGTTTCATAAGTTTTACAGTAGAGGTGAGCTGACAGGTTTTCAGTACATCATTTATGCCCCCTATTTGACTGAAAGCTCTTTGTTGTCAGAGTAGCTAAAGGGAGAAATAGGGAGCAAGAATGGTAACATTGAGTTGCCTCCGGTGAAGTGACACATGAAGAGCATTAATGAGGGTTTTTGAGCACCTTCCCACTCCACCGTTCAGCTTCAGAGGAGGTTACAACTGCAGCTGCTCAGGTGAAAAACAATTGGGCGGCAAAGCAGAATTTCCCTGACTTACTGAGACCTCAGCAAAGATAATTGTCTTCCTGATTTTTGGTGCCTTAGGCACAATTTCACTGCTGTTGTCCATCTGGGCATGGCTGGATGCTTTCTACAGCAGAACAGCTTCCATACAATGGCCTGTCCTCTAACCCTACAAGGTTCTCACAGGCCCTCTAACAGGGAAGAGGACTTGTGACTACTTATGCTTTACAAAGCTGCAAAAACAAGCATCCTCCCCTACCCAGGGGACAGTGCCTGAACTCAGTGACATTTGTGGGGGGCAGATAATTCCGTGGAGTCCAGCTGAGTTACTCCAGACTTCTAGTGACTGTCACCAAGATCAGCATCTCCCTCTTAGCTGATAATCTGTTGTGCTTTGCCTTACTTGTCAATTTACGTTATCTGTGAGCACAACTGATGAGAGCACTCAAAGAGACTGTTTTGCAAACTGATAGCATATCTCAGAGGAAGCATTTGCAAAATGTCAGCATCCCAGCAGAGATCCTGGGATAAACAGTCCCAGTAAAGCAAATATACCCCCCTTGACAGAAAGCAATGGATATATGGCTCGTCCAGGTTTAGACCATTAGCTTCAATAAGCACCACACATGAATTCAGGTTGAATTCTGAATTCTGGGACTGTTCTTCTTGTTCTTCTTCTGGTGCTTGAGCCAAAGACCTGGGAGCATGGCAAGGGCACAGTACTGGTTTTGAAAAGCTGTGAGACAGGCATCATTGCTCAGTGATTGTCCTACCAAAGAGGGTCTGGATGTACTTGACGGGTGTTTGATCTCACCTGGCTGCTCTGGAGAAGTAGGTTGTAGCTTAGGCATCTTGGGGAGGGGAAATGGAAAAGCCTTCCACTGATAAAGCAGACAGACAGCAGTCCTGTGCATACCTTTTCCTAGGTAAGACTGAAGGGGCCAGTCTATTGCTCATTCAAAGCCTGCAGAGCTAATGCGTTTTGCTCGCACGGGAGAAACTGTCCTAAAACAACTATCTTTATGTAAACAAAACAAAATAACAAACAAGCCAACAACCTACCTCATTTAGCTGTCAAAAGCTTTTACAGTCATCCTTGGATGCGGCCCACAAGAGCCCTTCATGTCTATCGGTTGGTTAGTCACAGGAAACTGGGTGCATTTTAGAGATTCCATTGTCCTTTCATTCCCGTGTTTATTTGTCTTCCTCCGCAGCGCCCTGAAAGTGATGGATAGTTTGTTGACTTCTGAACCTGAAGTTAACTTTTTGAGTTGTGTCTCATGTCGGAGAAAAAGCATGTAAAGGGGAGCGGGAAGGATTTCAAAGATTTTGTGCAGCAGAGGATGGCAGCAAGCCATTAATTATGTGCAAAGGAATAATAGCAGATAGGCTTTTTATTTTATTTTTTGCAAGGTGAGCTATTGAGTGAAATGAATAGCTGCCACAGAATGGTTGCAACCCATGTAACCAACTAGGATTTTACAGTCTTTGTATGAAGATATTTAAAAAGATTAGCACAGCTTTGGTAGAATACATTGGTATGCTGGGATAACAAGGCTCTTTGGAAAGCTTAGGAAACTTATTCCCCACCCCCCATCAAATTACCTCCAAGTTCTTATTTATTATTACTTAGAGAGCATATTAAGTGCACACTGTGCATTGTAATAAAGTCATGGCCCCTGCCCTGAAGATTTTACAAGTCTGAGGTCTTGATCTAATACCCATTTAAATCTGTGGGAGTCTTTGCCCTGACTTCAGCGTGGGTTGGATCAGATCCTTGTACAGCATTTCATGAGACTTAGCAACGGTTCTTGTTACACTCTAGCACACCCATCTTGTTCATGGCAAATTCATGGCTGAGCAGTTCCCTGCAATAGCCTCACTAAATGCAATGGGAACATTTGCTCCTTTGAGCACGTAGTAACCTGGGCAAATGCAGGCCCAGTTGCCTGGGAGAAGAGAAGATGGAAGGATGGAGGTGTGCTGTTTTCCTAGTGGATTTTTATTGCCAGGAGTATCATGTATGTGTGATGGCACATAGGTGAAAATTCCCAACCCCTACTCTCTGCCTGAGCATGAGCTGTGCTGTCAGCCCACGTGTGGAAATCTCGGAGGGCACAATTCCCCCCACCTTCTGCCCCAGCCACCTTCCAAAAGAGAGCTGTGTGTACAGTCTTCACGCCAGCTTTACTCATTAACTACTTTGACTCACTCCTGCTTACCAGGGGGGAATTTACAACCTCCTTTCTGCTACCACCACGCCAGCTCTGCAAAGATTCAGCCTGTAGCAGACATTTGTGCATGCTTGTTTGGAAAGGCTGCTTTTGTATGGTTTTGCTTCAATGCAAATGCTTTAGGCTTCAGTGCAGCAAAGTAATTAAGTATATGCTTGACCTTAAGTCCATGAATGATCTCTGAATCTGCCTCTTTGTACTCAGAACAAAACCCCTTAAAAAAGGAATAGCTTGAATGCCAGCAGCCCAGCTGTTCTTGAACAGCCCTCCAATAACAAATCTGAGAGCATTTGCATTGGTAGAAACAAAAGTTGGATAAGGAGGCTGATTCACTGTCTGGCTTCTGGAGACATTTTATAAATAGCTGCGAGAAAAACACAGGAGGGTTTTTTTTTTTTTTTTTATTATTATTAGTTGATAAAACATGTTGACAAGAGTCCTTTTCAGGATTGTAACTCGGGGGCAGCATGTCTTTTTGGACAGCAGACACATGGCAAACAGTTTATTTGCTGAAGAAAGCCAGATGCTCTGTGTCCTTGGCAGGCGATTTGTAAGATTAAGGAAAACCAAGCTAGTGACTAGAGTGTGGTAAATAAGAAAAATAAATAAATAAAAGCAGTTGCGCTGCCCGCGAGAAGCTCTTCTGTCCTTTTTGGCAGGACAGCTGGTTTTTCAGCTACTTTGCTCTGCAGAGTGCGGCTGGCGAGGGAGAAGCAGGCCACCTGAGGGGAAGAGTGTTTCTTGTTTGTCAGCCACTGCCTTCCCAGCCCTCTGCTGCTGCGTGAACAAGCTCCAGTGCCTCCGTGGAAGCATCACGTCCCATGGAAGACTTTATGGGCATGGCACTGAGTGGCTGATCAGGTGGAAGATGTACGTGAAGGAGAAGGTGAGGACTGGCAATATACGTGTTAGGCATCTTCCATCAAGTAGTAACCCAGCCTGACTTTGAAGATGTTACGTGGGAAACAGGCCACCTCTGGCAAACCTCTGACAAATAATAACAGCGAGATCAAGGGCCAGAAAACAGGAAATACAGGATGTGTCCTCCATGTGGGGCTTGATCCATCGCTGGCGCAGATCAGCATCATGCCATTGGAAGAAGAGAGTTTGTATAGACTGAGACCAGCTGAACACCAGTTACCAATGAAATAAAGTAGTTCTGTGAATAAACAGAATATTAGTAGAGGAAAAAACAGAGATGATAAAGTTTGTGTTGTTTATCCTGTACGCAGCTGGTCTTTTCTTAATTTTTCTTTAACAGATGTTTGCATTGACACAGCTTTGAGATCAAGCTACTACATAGCTCTCAAGCTGTATCAGGGAAGGGACAGAAGTGTTGTAAAATATTCCCTGTGCCACTGGGGTTCATGAACCAATGAGTTAGAGAGCCTGCATGATACAGTGTTGAATGCCTGTCTGATGCCTCTGAATTGCACATGCTCTTACCCTTACCGTGCCTCCAAGTAAATCATTACCTTTTCTTTGATCCGGTTTCCTCCTCAAGTGAAATACTGACACTACTTCAAGTACCATTAGGGTAATTCCTCTGTTACCCGTGGAAAGACAAATGTGGAGAGAGAAATCCCTTGCTTTCTGTTCTCTCCAGTAGAGGCTCTAGAGATTATAGCATCTGAATATCTCCCCAGCGGCACTTGGCCATGGCACTATCCATTCCTTACTGTCATTCCCCTACCTTCACTCCTGTAAGAGTCTTATGGGTACAATGCAAGTGCTATGAAGTGAGAGGACTCAAGGAAAAAAGGCAAACTGTCCTGAATCATGGGAACTGCCCTTGCATTCATAGAAGGCTTCTTTCCCTCTTACGTTAGTGCAAGGGGACATCAAAGAAAAATGAATTACTTAAGTGTCATTACACACAGATAAAAGAGAAATTGATTTGTGATTTGTTTGAGTAACATGAAGGAGACCCTAGAGACTGTAAAAGTTTTTAACAAAGAAGTCCTCTTCCTGACAGACATGCTGGGACAAAGGGGACAGAGCAAAGTGTAGACAATGTATTTACATGGTGAGCCACAGAGTTGGTTGGTGCTGCCTAAATCCCCCCAGATGAGAGGAATTTGGAAAAAAAAAAAAAAAAAAGGAAAAAAAAAAAAGGTTAGGGGCCCAATGTGATTTATGTGACTTGAGCCTCTTTCTCAGGAAGCTCAGAACCCAGATAAGAGATCAGATTTACAAAACTTCCTGTGTATGAGCAGGCACTACTTATCAATACGTCTTCTGTTCTGGGAGGGTTGAGGTGTGTTCTTGTGACTGAGGACCAACAGCAGTTGGTAAAGGCAAAGAACGTGGACTA